ACAAACTTCATCTTCACAATGTCAAGTTATTACTAACTACATCTTCACAATGTCAAGTTATTACAAACTTCATCTTTACAATGTCAATCTATTACATACTTCATCTTCATAATGTCAAGTTATTACTAACTACATCTTCATAATGTCAAGCTATTACAAACTTCATCTTCACAATGTCAAGTTCTTACAAACTTCATCTTCATAATGTCAAGTTATTACTAACTTCATCTTCATAATGTCAAGCTATTACAAACTTCATCTTCACAATGTCAAACTATTACAAACTTCATCTTCACAATGTCAAGCTGTTACAAACAACATCTTCACAATGTCAATCTATTACAAACTTCATCTTCATAATGTCAATCTATTACAATCTTCATCTTCACAATGTCAAGCTATTACAAACTTCATCTTCACAATGTCAAGATATTACAAACTACATCTTCACAATGTCAATCTATTACAAACATTGTGTCAAATACCTTAACTTACATTAATCGCTTTTCTTGTATCATGGAATGCGGCGCTTGATTGGATTGTACACTGTCTCATACAGCCAATCAGAGCCCACGACAGAAAGACTGTTACTAGTCTGGCTTAGTGTTTACTGACTTTCTGTCGCCCAAAACTTTTGTGACAAAAAAAGTGCCCAATGATGTCAAGGTATAAGACGAAGTTTGTAATACCCAGACATTGTAAAGATGACTCATTCCATGTTGACCCTGACTCCATCTTCACAATGTCAAGCTATTAAAAACTGTGTCTAATAATTTGACTACAATAACCACCTTTTTGTTTCACAGAAGTTTTTAAATGCAGCAATTACTGTGATAACGACACTAAACAACTTCCTCCCAAAATTTCTATAACTTTTTCCAGAAAACTCGTTGAAAACTTTCCAATATGTCACATGAAAGCCTGGTCAATACTTAGTTTCTACAAAAATTTAATATACCATGACCATGACAATCCTGAGCTGAAAATAGACCACTTCATTTTTATACGCCCACATCTCTCTGTGTGGACGTATATTATCGGCACCCCTGTCCGTCCGTCCGTCCGTCAACATTTGCTTGTAAACGCTCTAAAAACTAGATTTTTTGATGGAATCAAATGAAATTCGGTATGTGTATACATATTTATAAAACGAAGATCAAGTTTGAAGCAGAGTTATTGCCCTTGCCCCAAAATCTTGAATATGCTATTACTCTCTTAGTTTTCAGCCGATTTTGATTAAACTTAAAATGGATGTTTCGTTTTTACCATCCACATGCCGTAGTGGGCATGTATGGCTGTAGTCCACTATCTTATCAACGTCCTTTTGACTGTCACTGTACACAAAGCGATTATCTTTACAATATAGTCGGTTGTATTTACCTTGTCGAGAATAAAATAATCGAGTTATAATAGAATTATCTGCATTACAATACCATTCTATTAAAGTCAATGTTCTTGAGAATAATATTATAGAGTTATGTCCCTTACAACATCGGTCTATTAAAATCAATGTCGTTGAGAGCAATGTAACAGAGTTATCCCCCTTTCAATATCAGTCTTTTTTATTTATAGTGTCGAGGATAAAATTATCTCCCTTACAATAGCAGCTTTTTGTATTTATGTTGAACAATGTAATAGAGTTATCTTTCTTACAATATAAGTTTTTTTATTTATGTTGCTGAGAACCATATAATAGAGTTATCTCCATTACAATATCAGTCTATTAAAATCAATGTCGTTGAGAGCAATATAATAGAGTTATCTCCCTTTCAATATCAGTCTTTTGTATTTATATATCGAACAATATATTAGAGTTATCTCTCTTACAATATTAATCTTTTGAAATCAATGTTGTTGAGAATAACATAATAGAGTTATCTCCCTTTCAATATCAGCTATTGAAGTCAATGTTGTTGAGAACAATATATTAGAGTTATCTCCCTTACAATACCAGTCTTTTGAAGTCAATGTCGTTGAAAACAATATAATAAAGTTATCTCCCTTACAATATCACTCTATTGAAGTCAGTGTTGTTGAAAACAATATGATAGAGTTGTATCCCTTACAATATTAGTCTTTGAAGTCAATGTCGTTGAGAGCAATATAATAGAGTTATCTCCTTTACAATATCAGTATTTTGTACTTATATTGTCGAGAATGATATAATATAGTTATCTCCCTTACAATATCAGTCTTTTGAAGTCAATGTTGTTGAAAACAATATGATAGAGTTATCTCCCTTACAATATTAGTCTTTCAAAGTCAATGTTGTTGAAAACAATATAATGGAGTTATCTCCCTTACAATATCAGTCTTTTGAAGTCAATGTCGTTGAGAGCAACGTAATAGAGTTATCTCCTTTACTATATCAGTATTTTGTACTTATGTTCTCAAGAACAATATAATAGAGTTATCTCCCTTACAATATCAGTCTTTTAAAGTCAATGTTGTTGAAAACAATATGAAAGAGTTATCTCCCTTACAGTATCAGTCTTTGTACTTATGTTATCGAGAACAATATAATAGAGTTATCTCCTATACAATATCAGTCTTTTGAAGTCAATGTCGTTGAGAGCAATATAATAGAGTTATCTCACTTACAATACCAGTCTTTTGAAATCAATGCCATTGAAACCAATATGATAGAGTTATCTCTCTTACAATATCAGTATTTTGTACTTATGTTGTCGAGAACAATGTAATAGAGTAATCTTCATTACAATATTAGTCTTTTGAAGTCAATGTTGTAAAGAATAATATAATAGAGTTATCTCCCTTACAATACCAGTCTTTTGAAATCAATGCCGTTGAAAACAATATAATAGAGTTATCTCCCTTACAATATCAGTCTTTTGTACTTATGTTGTCGAAAACAATATGATAGAGTTGTCTCCATTACAATATTAGTCTTTTGAAGTCAATGTTGTTGAGAATAATATAATAGAGTTATCTCCCATACAATATCAGTGTTTTGTACTTATATTGTCGAAAACAATTTGATAGAGTTATCTCCCTTACAATATTAGTCTTTTGAAGTCAATGTCGTTGAGAGCAATAGAATACAGTTATTTCCCTTACAATATTAGTCTTTTAAAGTCAATGTTGTTGAGAAAAATATAATACAGTTATCTCCCTTACAATACCAGTCTTTTGAAATCAATGCCGTTAAAAACAATATGATATAGTTATCTCCCTTACAATATTAGTCTTTTGAAGTCAATGTTGTTGAGCGCAATATAATCGAGTTATTTCCCTTACAATATTAGTCTTTTAAAGTTAATGTTGTTGAGAGCAATATAATAGAGTTATCTCCCTTACAATAGCAGTGTTTTGAAATCAATGCCGTTAAGAACAATATAATAGAGTTTTCTCCCTTACAATATCAGTCTTTTGTACTTATATTGTCGAGAACAATATGATAGAGTTAACTCCCTTACATTATTAGTCTTTTGAAGTCAATGTCGTTGAGAGCAATATAATAGAGTTATTTCCCTTACAATATTAGTCTTTTAAAGTCAATGTCGTTGAGAATAATATAATAGAGTTATGTCCCTTAAAATACTAGTCTTTTGTACTTATATTGACGAGAACAGTATGTTAGAGATATCTCTTTTACAATATTAATCTTTTGAAGTCAATGTTGTTGAGAGCAATATAATAGAGTTATCTCCCTTACAATGTTAGTCTTTTGAAGTCAATGTTGTTGAGAATAATATAATAGAGTTATCTCCCTTACAATATCAGTCTTTTGAAGTCAATGTTTTTGTAAAACAATATGATAGAATTATCTCCCTTACAATAGTAGTCTTTTGAAGTCAATGTCGTTGAGAGCAATAGAATGGAGTTATCTCCCTTACAATATCAGTCTTTTGAAGTCAATGGTGTTAAAAACAATATGATCAACTGTAATTGATATTAAATTGAGTTATCTCCCATTCTTACAATATAAACTGTAATTGATGTATAAATTGAGTTATCTCTCATTATTACACTATAAACTTTAATTGATATATAGAGTTATCTCCCATTAGTACAATATAAACTGTAATTGATATTAAATTGAGTTATCTCCCATTATTACAATATAAACTGTAATTGATATATGAAATTTAGTTATCCCCCAATATTACAATATAAACTGTAATTGATATATAGAGTTATCTCCCATAATATAATATAAACTGTAATTGATATTATATTGAGTTATCTCCTATTATTACAATATAAACTGTAATTGATATAAAATTAAGTTATCTCCTATTATTACGATATTAACTGTAATTGAAATAAAATTGAGTTATCTCCCTTTTATTACAATATAAAATTTAATTGATATATAGAGTTATCTTCCATTATTACAATACAAACT